GCCAGGAGCCCCTTGGCCTCCTTGGCCACCAGGGCCCTGCTGCCCCATGGCCACCCTGGGGTCCCCAGGGCACCTTGGGGTCCCCAGGGCCACCTTGGGGTCCCCAGGGCACCTTGGGGTCCCCATGGCCACCCTGGTGTCCCCAGGGCACCTTGGGGTCCCCAGCGCACATCGGTGTCCCCATGGCCACCTCAGTGTCCCCAGGACTCCAGGTCCTGCTCCATGGAGTTGCTCCCCAGACCTTCCCCACTTCTAGGGCCGGAACCTGGGCAGTGTTGGGGACAATGTCCCCCCTGGCACTGCCCCCACCACGGGCAGAAGGGCCCGTTAGGGTTAGCCAAGATCTCTGCTCGGTTCCGGGAGAAGTTCCTCGCCCAGCGGCACGCATAAAAACACGTCCAGGGTTGCAACGCTTGCAGTTATAGACATGAGCACTGCGTGGTGATAAAAGACGTAAAATCACATGTTTGCTCCCTAAAAACGTTGGGACTCAAYGAGCCAAGAGGCTGAGCAGAAGGGCACGTTTCCCACYRCTGAATTTCCCCCATGACTAAGGGGCCCTTTGCCCCAGCTGGGGAACAGGACAAGCAGGATTTAACGGGAAGCTCCACGTCCCTCTTGTCTTGTCTTCAATCTCCGTTTCCTTGGCAGGTGGGATTTAACGGGAAGCTTCCTCCCTGGTTCCTTGCAAAGCAGGATTTAAAGGGAAGCTTCCTCCCCTTCCCCCACAGGATGGTTGAGGTTGGAAGGGACCTCTCGAGATCATCTAGGCACAGAACCACGGGATGTTTAAGGTCGGAAGGGACCTCTCGAGATCATCTAGTCCACCCCTCCTGCTCCAGCAGGGACACCCAGAGCACGGGGCACAGGGTGGCATCCAGGCGGGTTTTGAAGACCTCCAGAGAAGGAGACTCCACAACCTCCCTGGGCAGCCTGGGCCAGGGCATCATTACTCTCAAAGTGAAGAAGTTCTCCTCACATGGAGATGAAACTGCTTGAGTTGCAGCTTGCCATTACCCCTTGTCCTGTCCATGGCCACCACCCAGAAGAGCTTGGCCCCTTCCTCCCTACATTCTCCCTCATGAACATGKTGATCAGATCCCCTCTCAGCCTTCTTTTTTCCAGGCTAAACAGGCCCAACTCACTCAGTCTCTCCTCACAGGAGAGATGTCCCAGTCCCCTCATCATCTTGGTTGCCCTCCACTGGCCCCTCTCCTGGAGCTCCACGTCCCTCTCACACTGAGGAGCCCAGAGCTGCCCCCAATACTCAGGTTTGGCCTCCCCAGGGCTGAGTCCAAGCCCTCTGCTCCAGCAGGACACCCAGAGCACGGGGCACAGGGTGGCACCCCCAGCGTTGCCGGGGCCAAGGAGCACCCCGAGGTGCCCAGAGAGGGGTGCGCGGCGGCCCCGCGGCTCGGCCGGCCACTCACTTGTCGAGGCAGGCGACGCTGAGGCACTTTTCCGGGGACGGAGGAGGAGGCTGCGCGGTGCTGTCGCCGGCGGCCGCGCTCGCCGTGCTGCCTTCGTTCTCCTGCAGGATGGAGTCAATGAACGTGGAGGGAGACAGAGGAGTTTTGACAGCAGGAAGGTTCCCGGGGCTGGCCTCCTCTATCTGGGGGCTGCGGGAAGSACTAGGGGGCTCTTCTTTGATACGSACCACAGGACTACTCCTTGGAGAGACAGGAAAAGAAGGGTCAAAGCCTTGCGCTAACAGCCYGGGCGTCTGAGCGGCGCTGGCCTCGGCGGGACGCGTGGAGCCAGCTACGAAGGAGAGCGCGAGGAAGGAGGTCACCGTTGCTTCTGGTTCTCGTCCCAGCGAGCTCCCCTCCCGCGGGCGAGCGTTTGGAGCCCGGGCTCAGCGCGTTGCCCGCGGCTAAAGGCGGCCGCTCGGCTCGGGAGCTGCCRCTTTGGCCTTGGTAAGTTGTGGAGAGGACATTTTTAGGGGTACCATTCAATCAGCACCTCTTTGGAGGTGCACATCAGCACAAAGCAGCTCGTGTACCCCTCTGCAAGGTCACCCCCAAGACACAACCATCACCCCAGCAGAGCCTGCGGGGTTTTAAATGCATCATGTTAAGGGGAACGACTCCCTCGTGCAGACTGCAGGGTTAACCCGTTGCGTGGGCACCCGGGCACCTCGTGGTGCATCTTCTCGAGGAGATGGGCAGAGGGTTTGTGTGGCCAGCCCTGGTTTGCAGGGCAAAATCCCTYGCTGCTCATCCTCMCCRACATGGGGGACCCTGGGAAGAGGCTCCATTCGTTCTGCTGGAAAGGGCAGCAAATGCAAAGGAGCAGAGAGCCCAGTGAGCAACCGTACGGTCTATATGGAGTGACTGTCAACCGTACGGTCTACATTTAAGAGTGACCATCAACTGTATGGTCTATATTGAGTGACTGTCAACCGTATGGTCTACATTAAGAGTGACTGCCAACCGTATGGTCTATATTGAGAGACTGTCAACCGTACAGTCTATATTGAGAGACTGTCAACCGTACGGTCTACATTTAAGAGCGACTGTCAACCATACGGTCTATATTGAGTGACCGTCAACTGTATGGTCTACATTAAGAGTGACTGTCAACCGTACAGTCTACATTAAGAGTGACTGTCAACCGTACAGTCTATATTGAGTGACTGTCAACCATACGGTCTATATTTAAGAGTGACTGTCAACCATATGGTCTACATTAAGAGTGACTGTCAACTGTACGGTCTATATTGACTGACTGTCAACCATACGGTCTATGTTAAGAGTGACTGTCAACCGTACGGTCTATGTTAAGAGTGACTGTCAACCATATGGTCTACATTAAGAGTGACTGTCAACTGTTCGGTCTATACTGAGTGACTGTCAACCGTACGGTCTATGTTAAGAGTGACTGTCAACCGTATGGTCTATATTTAAGAGTGACTGTCAACCGTACGGTCTATGTTAAGAGTGACTGTCAACCGTATGGTCTATATTTAAGAGTGACTGTCAACCGTACGGTCTACATTAAGAGTAACTGTCAACCGTATGGTCTACATTACGAGCGACTGTCAACCCTACGGTCTATCGTAAGAGTGACTGTCAGCCCTACGGTCTATGTTAAGAGTGACTGTAAACTGCATGGTCTATATTGAGGGACTGACAACTGCACGGTCTACATTAAGAGTGACTATCAACTGTACGGTCTATATTTAAGAGTGACTGTTCCTGGCACAGGGCACTGYRGGCAAAACCCGGCCTTGGTGGGTGATTCGGCACACCAGGGAAGCACTGGTGCCAGGAATAACCTCGTAACGGGAAGGAAAAATGCAGCCAGCACAGCACGAGATGCCAAGGC